CGTTGGTGGTGACCAATCGATTTGGAAGTGATGACCTCAGTGGGTGTGGATGATGGCTAGAAACGGTTGCAGGTGAAGGTGTATGGGGTGTAGCGTGTGGTGAGGAGTATGGGATTTTTGGATGTTTATTATAGTTTTTTAACGGCAGCTTTACTCAAATATTATTCCATTATCACCATGCTTTACGCAATTGTGTTTTTCCTTTCTTTCGTTGAGATCCTTATTTTTGGTTTATCTATTGCCTATCGTTTGTTTCGAACCTTTGTCTTGGTAACATTATTTTGTCAAACTTTTCAATTGTAATCTAAATTGAGAGTTTCAAAATTGTTTTATGAAACAAGATTTTTAACTTAGCAATGGGTAGGGAGTTCGACGGATGAATTTTAAATTTATATTGTCAGTAATGCATCGTTGATGTGTTGGTACGTTTTGTTATTAACATGTTATCAACCATGATATCCACACATCTATAGTCTATCTTTTAATAAAAATCGAACATTTTATCAAGAGAAACAAAGAATTTTATGAGTACTAAAAGAATTTCTAGATGATAGCATTTTAAAGATGGGATTGAATATGAATAAAACAAATGTGATGTAGATGAGCGGTGTGGCAACATCAACAAGAGTGATGCTGTTGGTGGTGGGAGTGCAGATGTGATGATGTTGTGATGGCCGAGGGCGTGGCGGCGGCGTGTTGGTGGTAAGGTGGAGGTGATGTTGTTGGGCAGTTGGTGGTGATGGTCACAGTTGTTGCTTTCTTTTTTTTACCTCAAAATATTTTATGACATTGTGATTGTAAAGATATAAAACAATTGTCATTTATGAAAATTGAACTCATGACCTCCTCTAATAAATTCGAAATTTAGTGTCACAACACCAAATAGGCTTTGACAGAAATGACCTCTACTTAGGTTTGGATTTGACACCCCAATTCCAAGGTTTTATTATCCAAACAGGCCGTTACATAATTCATTTCACTCTTTTTTTTCTTGGAAATTCATTTCACTTAAAGAGAAGTGAATCACACGTCAGCTTCCATCCAGAGATTTCCAAAGTTAGTTTCCTTTTGTGAATTTTCAGTGTAGTAAGCTCCACAAGAATCACACTGTCTTACCATAATAGCATGTCTATGTGCTCTGGTTGCCAGTTAAATAATATTCTATAATTCTTAGGTTTTTTATATAAAAAAATCCCTCTTCTCTTGTCCTCTATTTTCATTTGCTTAATTTTTTTTTGGAAATTCAAGTATTTTTCTTCTTTCTGACCATATATCTCTGGTTCAGGACGCACCCAAACTTCTTCCTTTTACTACTTTCCTTTCTCTTCTCCGGCGACGCATCATATCTCATTTCTCGACAATCCAGGTATGTTGGTAACTTTCCCGTGTTATTAATTTATTCTAAAATTTAAACAAATAGCATCATTTCAGTAGATATCACATCAGCTTGATGGCGTAGTAGAACTATCATACATATAGATTTTTTTTTTCCTTACAAGGAGTGTTATTGTTTTGATTTTGTTTCTCCTTGTCCATAGTTAACCTCTTCACATTTTGATTCTTGAACACGAAAAGAGTAGCTTTGGGTTTTACTAAGAAAAAGAAATGGCTAAATAGACCGAACCAGATGACTGGTCTCATTTGGTTCGATTTTCAATTTTTTTTAAGATTCGATATTCAAAATTGAAATAGACCACCAAAACTTATTTAAATAGTCGCTATGTTGGCAATAAACACAAGTGTCAGCTTCTTATTAGCTGGTTTCAAAATTATTGTCATTCACATTGCACAAGAACAACCCACAATTTTTTTGCACCCAAATCTCTTTCTCCTAAATGACCCACATTTTTTAACCTAATCTCTCTATTTCTCTCATATCTTTTGATCTACTCTTTTAGACCCTGCTCTAACCGCTATGGCCCACGTGTGTCTACCTTCTCTCTAGATCTCGTAAGCCGAACCTAACCCTACGACCTTCTCCCTCCGCCCTTGATCTCCCCATGGGTCAGGGCTCATCTCGTATGGATGGGTATGGGAATATAGTTGTTGCCCGAAGTTTAGCCCTTTTCTATTATCAACGTCTAACATTGAAAAGAGAAATACCGCTAGACTAAAAGATAGTTTGTCTCTACTTACGCATTTACTAAAATAAAAATATTAGAAATATTAGAGAACTTTAGTTGAGGGATACCTCAAATAAGCTTATTTGAGAGGCACCCTTATGAGGCCTATCTACATTGTATTTTCATAATATGACCGTCTACGTTTTAGGTATTCCTCCAAAGATCATCCCTGCAAAAAAAATCACTTTAATCCAAAATCATTTTACCACTCAATCAATGGTTGTAGTTTTAGTGTTTTCTTGAACCACCGGAATCGTCGATTCTGTTGATCACAACTATATATCTTAATGGCTTCTGATTTTTGCTATTTTTTTTTGCACAAATGATCTTTGAATGAAGACTTAATGGACAATTCAGATCGTTGAAACAGACCCTACAAGGTGTCCCTCAAATATCCCTCAATAGAAGTGGATTGTTAGAAATATATACTTATAGTTATTTTAATCTTGAGTTTTAATTTACGTTCTTCTTTTAAACTTGTGTGTAGTTGTCAATAGTTTTTGTTTTGGTAAAAAAAATTTGCTATAGTAAAATATGGTACACACAACCTACCCACTGATCGAAATGAAGCCCTCAGGTGTTTGTTTGTCTTCCCCCAAAAACAATAACCAATTATAAACCCTTGTTGTTTCTCTCAGCAGTTTCAGCCATGGACGCAGTGCAACTCTCTACAAACTTAACCCTTGCCACCCCCATGCCACAACTACAAGACGAAGTTCAAGACCAATTTCAAGACCAAGTTCAAGACCAAGTTGAAGACCAAGTTTCAACAACATTGGCTTTATGTGATCCATCTTGGACCACACTGAACAAAACAGAAGAGGAAGAAGGCTCAGCTTCTTCTACCCCAGCACATGAAAACATCTGTACAATAATGCAGAATGTCATAGAAGAAGAGCTGAAAAGAAGAGCAGTGGCTGCCCAGATTTCCAGGCTGCTCACAGTTTGCAGCTACAATCAGATACTTCATGGCATGTGGAGGGTGCCAGCAAACCCGAGCCCATTTCACGATGTTTGGGAGATTAGGAAGACGCTGACCACAAGCGATGTTGGACAAAATGTGAGCAGGACCAGCAGCAGGCTGCTGCTGAACACACATATGGTCAAGAAAAGTCTCCTGCCCTACTGGAGTTCTCGACTTATTAATCGAGTCGAAAGCCAAGAGGGAGCTGCAGTTACAATCTACGATTGTAACACAAGCTCCCAGCATCACTTGACTTTCAAGTATTGGAAGAGCTCAAGGACATATGTTTTGATAAAAAAATGGAACAGAGAATTTGTGAGGAGGAGGCAGTTGAACGCTGGCGATGAAATTGGATTTTTCTGGGATGTTCACAGGTTGATGCTCATGTTTTCTGTGCTTGGACGCGCAGGGCACCAACTGCCTTCTTTTGCTTGAACAAGCAGAGAACATTTTTAAGGAACTTTTTTTAGTTTTTAGCAGGCTTTTGTTATTGATCAAACATTGGCATATGTTCTGGATTTTTGAACTGTTTGAGGCTTAGTTTTCTTGGTTTCTTAATTTGCTTATCAGAAACTTTCTTATGTTATATATGTTGCTCATTTGAACCACATATTTTAGCACTTATGAGTATTCAAACAATGTGTTTGGGTTGTGTCATGATATGTTTTACTGCACTTGAGTTTTCGATTTACCGGAAAGAATTCAGAGTCGGGAGGGTGCCGGAATTAGAGTCATCTAAAAGGAGAGGTTAGTAAGCCAGTGCCACAAGGAACTTTAGGGGGCGTTTGGTATCCTATTCAAATAGGGAACTTAAAAACTTTGATTTTTCTTAAAAACAAAGAGTTCTTAAATCTATTTTTAAGATTTGAAAATTTGTTTGGTATGCAACTTGAAAACTGTTTTCAAATCTTAAAAATTTGAGAACTTATGGGCTGTTAGAAAAAAAAAACTGAAAAACAGATATTTTTTGTTTTTAATAATTGAGGTGTTTTTTAGTTGTTCTTGAGTTTGAGGTTTTACAAATAGGGCTATCAAACAGGTTTTCTTTGTTTTGGACTCAAATTCTGTTTTTGAGTTTAAAAAGCTGGATTCAAGTTGAATACCAAACAGGCCCTAAGTTACTTCTTGTTTTATATTTTTGATCAAACATTGTGGATGTTTAGGTTAATTTATTGAATTAGTTGAGCACTAATTTTCTTTAGTTTGTTTAAGTGTTATTGCATTTAACATAACCAAATTTGGATGGAAATCTTTTTTAGCTATGGAACACACAAGAGATAATGCTTCTCTTATGGGGAAGGATTTAGTCTATGTAAGTTGTATATCTACGAGGACATATATGCTAACAATAGTCCTAGTTACACAATGGAGGAAAGTATAATAAACTTATCTGTAAAATAAATAAGTAAAAGTGTGAGGGAGGTGTTGTTGGCTCGATACAAGTCATGATGTGTGAAGTCAATATAGTAGAAATGTAATAATAATTTATGGTTCAAATATATGTGGTATCCTACTAATTGCGCCAACGTCTTTTGAGTTCAAACACTCACACCCTAGAGGTTCATTGGGCCTAACCCGACCCAGAATATTATACGGATGATTAAGATGGGGACAATATCGGTCCATACTTGAATTTGGTAGTGGACTCCTATATTACATGTACTTAGACAGAAAAGGGTATGTTATTAATTACACTCCCTAATTACCTTTTTTGTTGTCAAACCATCCCTAATTACTTAGCTACCAAGAAAGCTGCAGAGTCCCTACAAGGCAAAATCTCCAATGCCAAAGTAATTTCTTTACAATCTCTATATCTATAAATACTCCATAGTGACTTTCAACCCAAGTATCATAAACTCTCTCTCTCTCAGTTTTTTTTTTTTTGGGTCCTCTTCTATCTCTCTGTTTGTACAATGGAAGAGAAAGAGGCCTTAACAACACTAACCCTTGGCCCTGCAACTCCATGCCCACAAGAGAGAGTTTCAACAGAGCTTGGCCTTGCAACTCCATGCCCACAAGAGAGAATTTCAACAGAGTTGACTTTGTGGACCACAAATAAGAAGAGAAAACCAGAGACAGAGTGCCCTGTTCCGAGGAAGAAAACAAACACAAATTTGCTCTCCTGGCTGAAACCTTGTGACGCTTGGGAAATCAAGAAGACACTCACGCCTAACGATCTCGAAAACTTGCTAATTGTGGAAACCAATTTTATCGAGAATCAGGTCATGTCTTTCTTGGGTGACACGTTTTCCAAAAGGGTACTTGAGAGCAAGTATGGCGCCCGGGTCACAGTTCACGACCGCGATACATTTTCGAAGCATCGAATGGTTTTAAAGCTGCGCGATTCACCTAGGAGGAGTTACGTTTTGGATGAAGATTGGCAGCAGGAGTTTGTGAAGAGGAGAGAATTGAAAGAGGGTGATGAGATTGGAGTTGGCTGGTACACACCCTCAAATGTTCCTTCCAAAGCCATGTTCACCTTTTCGGTACTTAAACGGGCAGGCCAACCTGCAGCTCTTCATGATCAAGATTCGGTTTAATGATGTAACCTGTCTGTAAGAATTTTTACTAAATTTTTTTATGGACTTCTGGCAAAAGCGCTAAGTAAAAATACGCAACTTTAAAGTTTAATATATTTGGTCTATGTGTACAACTCAACTTTTCGAGTATTCTATATCTCCCATCTCTGCTTGGATTTCCCTTTTTTTCTTTTCTTTAGTTCGTTATAATTTTCAATCTTTTAGCTGTTTGTGGAATTATTGTTATATTTTCAAAAGAGTTATTTACATTAACACCCCTTGAGGTTTCCGGTGTTTTCACAAAACTTCATGAGGTTTCAAAAATTATACAAACACCCCCTGAGGTTTCAAATTGTTTTTACAAAATCCGTTTTCCTTGATTGTTCCAAGGGCGGACCTACGTGGAGGGCATGCCGGGCAGCTGCCTAACCCATTTTGTGAATTCTCTCTCTTGTGAGCTTTAGTTCTCTCTCTCTCTCTCTCTCTCTCTCTCTCTCTCTCTCTCTCTCTCTCTCGGTTATTTGTTGATAATATATTAATATTTGTGGGTGAGCTTGTGCTATTATTTTCGTATTGCATTGCATTTACTTGTTATTTTATAAGCTTTTCTTTATGTATAAAGATGCATTTGAGGGTAGTGCTCATTACGTCTATTGACTAAGTGTATTTTTTGTATGTTTATTAATGAAATTCACTCATACCGTCGAGTTTTTAATGTAAGTTTCGTTTGGCCGGCTATCGAATCCTGGATCTACCACTGGATTGTTTGTCCAAAATTTGATGATTTCTTTAAAAAAAAATACTCATGCAAATGACAAAATTAACCTTAATGAATGCATGTGCAATCCAATTTCAAAGGCTAACTTTGTCATTCGAAGAATATTTCTTTGAACGGAAAATCAACGAAAAGGGATTTTGTGAAAACAATTTAAAACCTCAAGGGGTGTTCATGTAATTTCTAAAACCTCAAGAGATGTTAGGGTAAACAACTCTTTTCAAAATTATAAAATTTGCTATATATTTAGATAAGAATTAGTGTTTAAGTGTTGGCCAATATATAGTTTTGTCTTTCACTAAATGAGATCAAAATGGAAGGAAGACAAGAGATGGAGGGGCGGCATAACCTTGGAAGTGTTGGGTTGCTTCCCCTCATTGCAAATTGTTTTTGGAGTGCAACCTCAATTTCTTCCCCTTGCTAATGTTGTTTTTTCTTTTTTAAGTTTTTATTATTATTTTCAATGATAAAGTTGAGTACTACTAAGTTTAACGGTAAATAAATATATAAAAAAATTAAAAATTAACATGGATCACGTTTTGAGTGTAAGGCTATACATGGTAATAAAAAAAAGTGGAAGTGAAAATAACAAACAAAACAAAACTCTGATGAAAAATGCCGCATGTATGCACATTACACGTCATATACGCCAGCTGACTGGAAGTTGTTCATTTAACGATCGAGTAGTGGAAAAGTTACTAATGACCAACGTTCGCAGACGGATCGCTGTAAATTTGAAATAAAATTACTTTTACCGCCAGGAAAATCACCCTAAGCGTCTGAGTTAAAATAAAACCAAACGCAACAAGGAAATGCAAGTTTCCTAATTGAAAAGGGTAACAATATGTTATAAATACGCACACATGTTTGCTCTTATTGTCAACTTCATTCCATCTCTCTGTTTTCTTTCTCCCCAGCAACAAGAATTAATCAATTGATTGGTTTTTTAGTTTGATTTCCTTCTGTTAATTTCAACATTAACAATGAAGGAAGAAATTGATCTCTCAGCACTCCTGGACCTAACCCTTGGCCTTCCTAGAACTAGGGTTAACCCTTCCCCAGAACCAGACCAACTTTCCACTGCCCTCACTATGTGTGATCCAACTTGGAATTACGACACACGCCAGAGAAAAGCAGAGGAATATTTAGACCCTGCTCCTCTCAGATTTGCCCCTCCTAATCCGGAACACGAGAAAGTGTCTGGTACGAATGATATCAACAAGGAATTAAAGAAGAAGAAAAGAAACCAAGCAGTGCTGGATACGGTGAGTCTACAGCCTCAGGATGAGGGGCCTTGGAAAATCAAGAAGACACTGACAGTAAGCGACATTGGAAACTGCTCAAGGCTACTTATGCCGAAAAAATCGGTCATCGACCATGTTATGTGTTACTTGGATGACAAGTTTGCCGAAAGGGTTATGAGCGGAGAGGGCATAGGAGTTATGGTTGTAGACTGCGACACAAACACCGGGCATTACTTGAATTTCAAGCTTTGGGGGTCGGCCGAGTTTTACATTCTCAATGGAGATTGGAGGCAAGAGTTTGTGCACAGGAGAGGCTTGAAGGAGAAGGATAAAATTGGGCTTTATTGGGATACCTCCAAATCCATGTTCATGTTTTCTGTTCTTGAAAGGGCAATCCAATCCCAATTCCCTGCTTGATCAATTTGGTGGGTCTAGTCTAGGTTGTTGTAACTAGCTAGATAGTTTTTTAAATTCCTCAGTTTGAGACATTTGTTGTAAAAGACTTGTGTTTATCCAAGTCCAAGTGAATTCTATGAATCAAATCATACATTTTCCCATCAATGTTTTTTTTTTTTATAATACTGATTTGCTTCCTGTTATAAGTTTTAGTTACACAAATAAAATAATTGTTAGTGAAAAATTACTTCATTCCAATCCAATCTTGCTTTGCTGGCTCCTTTGCTGCCAACGTTGGGGTTGGCAGATCAAGAAACCTCTCATAACTTGTGGATTAATTCCTCAGATGATTTCTGTTATAAGCTTCCTTTTTAGCAGCTGCAAGTGCTGTTATTTCTTCAGAGGAAAAAAAAATGTAAGCAAGGTTTCAAACTAGTACAGGCTAGTTCTTGGTTGAATTTCTACCAATGGAGCAAAGTTTTGAGCAAAACCAGAACCAAAATCCCTTCTTCATTGGAATTTAGGTCTAAACTTTTTTGGTTGCACTTGGTAGATTGCAACACTCAATTTTTTTCATTTAGCTGCTGCTACTTCGAAAACAAAAGAATTTTATTACTCGAATTCATGATGATGCTGGAATTTGGTATTTCGGAACATTAATTCTGAATAATATGGCTAAATTTCTTCAAGAATTCAGGAATCGCTTTACAAACCCAACAAGGAAAAGCAAGTTTTCCCATTTAAAAAGGGTAACAAAATGTCCTGTTTCCAAATCCAAGACTGATTTGGTACAAATCCTTATAAATACCCATACATTCTTGCTCTTATTTGCAACTTCATTCAAAGCATCAAGCACAAAAACTCATATCTCCCTTTCTCCCCTTAAACTAGAATTAGTCAATTGATTGGCTTTGTAGTTTGATTTTCATCTGTTAATTTCAACAATAACAATGGAGGACGATTATGAAACCTCAAAAATGCTAGCCCTAACCCTTAGCCTTCTTAATACTAACCCGGAGCTAGACCAAGTTTCCACTGCTCTCACTTTGTGTGACCCAACTTGGAATTACAACACAAATCAGAGCAAAGCAGAGGAATTAGACCCTGCTTCTCACAATGTGCCCACATTTCCTCCTAATCCGAAACACGAGAAAATATCGGGTAAGAATGATACAAACAAAGAGTTAGCGAAGAAGAAAAGAAAGCTAGTAGTGCTGGGACCTAGGCCGAGTCCCGAGCCTCGGAGGCCTTGGTCCATCAGGAAGATTCTGAAGGCAAGCGACCTCGGAAACTCCTCAAGGCTGCTGGTTCCCAAAGACGCCGCCACGAACCATTTTCTGCGTTACTTGGATGACAAGTTTGTCCAAAGGGTTGAGAGTGACGAGGGATTAAGAGTTACAGTTCAAGATTGCGATACAGGCACAAGGCATCAGTTGACTTTCAAGTTTTGGAGCTCGGCAAAGAGTTACATTCTCAATGGAGAGTGGAGAGGGATGTTTGTGCAGAGGAGAGGCTTGAAGGAGAAGGATGAAATTGGGCTTTATTGGGATGCTTCCAGAGCCATGTTCATGTTTTCTCTCCTTCAACGGGCTTGAATTGGATGATCTAGTTTATTTACCTTTGTTCACATTGTTTGTGTGTCTCTTATTTTGGTTTGTATTTATTTTCAATGAATCACTCTCTTTCAAATTTTTTTTAAAAAAATTACAATTGTTCTATCTACATATCTACCTAGTAAAAAATGGCATTGATTTGTTGTGATGTGAGTAGTGGTCTCATGTTCGAACCCCCATTGCACTGATGTAGTGTGTGTGTGTGTGAAAACCCCCTCCCCTTATAGTTTAGATTATCGCTTATATTACATGATCCAAAAAATACATGATGACATGACTGTTGGTTTCTAGTTATGCCAGTAGGCTAGTAGCCTTAATTAAACTGAGTTAATCTGTATTAGAGCATCCATAATGGGCTCCATAAACCACCTCTTTAGCTAAACTTTAGGAAGGAATTGAAAAAACTCACCTCCAACCATACTCCCTATCCAGCTCCTAAAATAGGGAGACCTCTAGGAGCTCCTAAATCTGAGGAGATAGAGGACTCCTAGTGGCTCCCTATAATTAAATACTATTATATTTTATTATTATTTTAAACATTTATTTAATGATGTCTTTGATTTTATCATCTTTTTTTTCTATATTTTATATTTTAACTTTCCAACAAAACACAAACACGTTTTATTGTTTTCAATTATTTTCGCTATAGTCCGTAGGTGTTTTGCAAAGCACAAGCAATTCTTTATTAAATTCTTTTCGCTGTAGATATTTTACAACAAACAAACACCATATTTTTTAAAATTCTATTCCCTGTAGGTATTTCGCAAAACACAGTCACTTTTTTTATATAATTATTTTCACATGATTTCTGATTTTGAAAGCCAATTCTTTTCCGTGTAGGTATTTGCTGTTTTGTATTGTTTTTTTTGGATTCCATCTCCTGTTTTGTATTGTCATTTTCGATTGTATCTCATGTGTATTGTACTACAAAAATAATTGGTTTTGTAGTTTATTATTTGGCAATATTCATTATTTGAATATGAACATTTTATTGTAAATCAGGAATTAAATTAAAAAAAAAGTAAAGTATTTATGACAAAAAGAAGTAAAGCATTTATGGCTTTCCAAATAGCTTTTTTAAAGAGCTTTTAAAATAGTTTTTTCGTGTTTTTAGCCAAATTTTATCTAATAAATAGAGAGTATTAGGTAGTTAGTAAGCTGAGATAATTGGTTAGCCTTGCATTAATTTCACCGACATTAAAAAAAAAATGGTCTTCAACAAATAATTAATCGGTACCCTAAATAGTCTCTCAATTAGGTCCACCGTCCCCATCCCTCCCTATCCTCTGGCCCGAAATTAAATAAGTGCTGTCCGGAAATGCATCAAACTTCCCTTTGTTCCGGCCCCTAATCAATTTCATGCCTCAAAATACCCTAAATTGGGAAGTGATTTTTTTGGGAAGCTTTTCCATTCCGAAACTGATTTGATCAAAACTCTTTTGTAAATCATACCCCATTCTGCTATTTCATAGCTTTGTAAAAACTTTCTAAAAAGCACAATTTAATTAACACACAAAATTTTCATAGTTACATAATGTTTCACATCCCCCACAAGTTTTCCTAGTATATAAGATATATCATTACCATACGACAACGTATGAGGCGTTGACCGTAATTAATTACCAAGATTTTTACCTTATTTAATCACTCCATTATGCATAATCATATTCACAGGCTATGCCCCCAAAACCAAGCAACTTAGCCCTATTAAGCAATCCCAGCCACCATCTCAACACCTTTACCTATCTTTTCCAAAATAGGGTTCAAGTCTCTAGGGTGCACATTAACCCTGAGGCCATACTTCATGAACAATGTCAGTGACATCTTTTGCTCCACCCGATGGCCCGGAACCACCGTGAGCCGGTGCCTCAACAACACGGCGGCCGCTATTGACTTCATTTGCAAGTAAGCTAAGTCTTTGCCTAGACAAATTCTTGGACCAGCATTAAAGGACACAAACTTGTAAGAATCTTGTACCTCCATTTTTTTGCCATCAGAAGATAACCACCTTTCGGGCTTAAATTCAAGGCAATCTTCACCCCAAATGAACTTCATGCGACCGACTGAGTAGATTGAATATGTGATTGAAGAGCCTGCTGGCACAAAAGTTCCACTTGGCAAAACGTCATCGTTTATTGTCTGCTTTGAGTCTTGTGGCACTGAAGGGTAGAGCCTTAGGGTCTCGGACAACGCGGCCTTAAGGTATGTCAATCGGTCAACTTCTTCGAACACGAGAGGCTCTTTGACCCATCTGGAAGTGTCACTGCCACGCGTCTCCATTAGAACTGTGCAAACTTCAGCGAGGATTTTCTCCTCCACATTTGGGTTTTGAATCACCAACCAAAAGAACCAACTCAGCGCCGTCGATGATGTGTCACGTCCAGCTAGGATGAAGTTGAGCGCCACGTGTTGGAGGAATGTGTCCGAGTAGGACTCCTTTTTCTTCATGAACCGGGACAACAAGTCATCATGTGGGACCCCATTTGAACCTTCTTGCTTGTTCATCAACTCCAGCTTACGTGTGTTGATTATAGTGGATAAATACTGGTCGATGTGTTGGAGGCTCTGGCTCAAGCTGACTTCCATTCCGAGTCGGAGCCATTTTTTGAATTTCCATATAATCTCGGGCAAGATAAAGCGCTGCAGCGTGGCTTCAGTGGCTCGGTCGAAAGAATTTGCGAAGTCGTTTTCGGGAAGGCCCAACGCCAGCGTCTGTGGGTCCTTCCCGAAAGCCAACCCACAAATGTTGTCAAATGTGAGCCGAAGCAAGAGGTCTTGAAGATCCACCGGCTTGGCTTCATTCTGAGCTGTCTCAAGAATGGGGCAAAACCTGAGCTCAATGGCGCGGCTCACCCACCGAGCCATAGCTTGGCGGAGCGTCCGGGTGGTGAATTCCAGTGCGGCGGTCTTACGTTGGAACAGCCAGGTGTCACCATCAGAGTTGAAGATCCCATCACCGAGCAAATCATGGAACACAGATTGCCAGTTGGGGCCCTTGGGGTAGTTGTCAAACCGGAGCTTCAAAATGTGCTCCAAGTTCTTGGGGTCGCACGTGACAGTCACGAGCCCTTGCTTGCGAGCCAGGAAGGGAATGGCGGTGATGCAGGTCTGGTACGTGCCGCCGCAAGAGTGGAGATTGTCTGCGATCCAGTCGTGCATCCGGTTCGCGTTTTGGATCAGGCCCGGCAGGCTGCCCACTAGAGGCCAGACACGCGGGCCGTTCATGGACCGTAAGATGATCTTGAACCACAACAAGTACGCAACACAAGCTGATAAGATCATCAGAGCCGTTGATGCCTCCATCTGGCCACTGATTAGCAAACCCCACTTGAAAATTAAACCACCTCAACCAAAATTAACCCTCAAACCCCAAAGTAATTAAGGTGATATAGGAAAAAGCCACAGCCAAGCTAGAACTTGAAAACCAATGCACGTAAACAAAAAAGAAGCAAAACCAGATCAAAATGGACTGATTAAACAAAACCCAGATCAGATTAATGAAGAAAAAATGAGTTTTAGAGATCTGAGGCTGCCAACAATGTGCATGGCGAAAAT